CCGTCCCTTTCGGACAGTCAGCGCGTGGACGCTCGCTCCGGAGGGGCTGCAGAGTCAGCGTGCGCTTCTGACGCGCCCGCCGCAGGCTCTTCGGCCGATCCCGGGAAGTTTCTGTAGAACTTACTTTTGGGGTGCCTTTCAGTCGCCTAAAGCGCAAGTCCGCAAGGATGTCAGCTCCCCACTGTGTGCCAGGCGCTGTGGGGAGCACGAAAGCGAACGCCACGTGAGTCCAGCTCGGGAAGATCTTACCCTTCAGTAAAAGGCTTGAAAGTCCTGAAAGGCGGTAGGTGTGAGCTGCCGTCGGCGGGACGATGGGAAATGGGCCGGCGGTACCGTTCACACCGCGGGGTGAACCCTGAACGTGAGGAGGGCTGTTTGGGAAGGGCCGTTTCGTCAGTGTCTTACACAGCACACAACGGGACGAGGCTCTGCCGTGGGCTGGCCGAAGAAATCCCAGATTGTAATCCAGAGTCCGGACCTGCAGCTGGTCTGCATATTTCCAGTGTGTGTTGTCTGCCTCGGCCCACTAGTCCCATTTAAAAACAAACATCACAGTCTTCTGCTTTCTCAAGTTCTCGCTTTCCAATGTCACAGCTGTAGCACAGACATTTTAGAATGCTCCAGCTCAAGACTAGAAAATGGACACCTGAAACAGGACACTCCCTAGACAGCTCTCGCTCCTCGCGGGGACTTCCCTGGGTTTAGAGTTGGAAGGTTTAGGGGACGCCACACTAGTCAGAGTGCCTGGCCAGGGGCAAGGCTGGCTGGCACCAACCCTGCAGGCTGGCAGGTGGGAGGCTTTAGTCTGGGCTTCACACATGAGGAGACCACACATGGTGCAGGTTTGCAAAGAGTGGGCTGGTGCCCATCACTTAAGCTGACTCTAATAGAGCTGTGCTCATCGCACCCACCCCCTGCTGACTAAATCTGACCGGGGCAGAGCCACCAACGCCACCGTGAAGAGCAGAGCACTGGAAATGGAACCGACGCCCCCAGAGCCAGTTTAGACCCATCTGTTGACTGTGTCTTTCAAGTCTTGACGTTGCTGCCTTGGGCCTATTAGGTCGGGGCTCCTGGCTCAGCAGCATTCTTCAGCCCAGACCAGGCAGGCGGTGGCTTTTGGCAGTGACCACAAAAAGTTTGCAAGTTTGAAAGCTGGGTCAAGTTGCTGGTCAAACTCATTTAAGTGACCACACTTTACAGGCTGGCCTGGAAGCTTGGGGGCTGGGAAGTGATGGGGCTGCAGTTGCTTGGTGCCTGCTTCGCCCTCTGACTAGCCATGACTCATTGTTGTTTGTGAAACCGCTCAATGGGTTGCTTGTTTGGGGTCAGCCAGGCTGTGGATACTAGTGCTGTCAGCAGGCCGGGCGCCAGGCCACCTGGGCTCTGGTTCCAGCTCAGCCAGCCGCTGATCCACGGAG